TAATATTATAAAGAGGAATAATACTAATAATTTATTTGCCATAAATAGGTGGTTACAGAATAGTTAATAGGAATGCTCTGCCAGCAGGGTCCCACCTAGTTGTAGGGGGAACATACACAACATATTACAGTCGGAAAATCTTTGCGGTAGGTACCTCGGATTGTAGTTAGTTGGACAGTGGTCATTTGACGGCCAGGGTCATTCCATCGTTTCGGGTGTTACGTTCGTACACACGTATTCAACAATATCATGTATTTTGAAATAGTATTTTAATAATGTTAGTGCCTTAATCTGTCCGTTTTTAGTTGTTTTATCTTAATAATAAAGTTTGTACAGCTTAGAATGTAGGATAACGAAAATATGAGTCGAAAAGTGTGCGTTTCGGGCGTTACGAGATTTTGCCTCTATGTTCTGACTGTTGCTGCATTTACTCGAAATTTAGCGAATTTTCTTAAGGAATCATACCTAAAACTTACANATGAAGGGTTAATTCAGATAAATAACTGTCACTGGTGTGTGACTGGGAATATGGTAAAAGTACGAGTAGGTGTTACACTAGGAACTTTCTAAGCCTGGGTACCAATCTTACTTTAACTATAACAAACGTCAAAAATCTGTTAAACTCCATACAAAAAACACCGGTCAAAGTTAAAGTAATGCCACTGTACAGTTTAATTTCGTAATTTTATAAAAGTTTTTTTTTATTTAGGCTTTTGAAAAGCGATTTTACGAGCCTAAGTCATTGCAGCGATTTGATCGATTTGTTTATTTTCCTAACTAAAGATTAATGTTTGAACATTGTTAATGGTCGGCTTGTAAATGGTTAATGTTTTTGATTGCGCTAATTAATTTAACATCGAACAACGGGGAATGTTTCTCTTCGTAATTTAAGCTATTTGTGCGAATGTTAGTTTAGAATCCGAATTATTTGTAACGTAAATAAATTATCTGAAATATTTAGTGATTTCTAGCTTTTGTATGAAATGACGCTCTATTTTTTATAGTAAGGTCAAAATCAATTGAGGAAACTTTTGTATTTTGTTTTGTTGACGATGCGTTGGACTTTTCTAATGAAATTAGTTTTAATACAATCCCAAATGTTTAGTGATGTAGGTAATAAGTATTATATAATAAAGATATATAATAAAGATTGACAAACTGATTATTATGTACTCGAATACAGGGTTGATCTGTAACTTGTATTTACTTTGGAAACCGTTTACTTTGTTTGTAAGTAGTTTGTGATCGATTTCCGTCCAACCACAGTGAACGATGCTATACAGGCAATACAGGTAAGTAGGCTTACCATGAGTTTACGTTAGAAGTGCTCGCTAGCGACTGCGTAAAAATTAACATTAAATGTAAGGCATATTGTACAGCGCCCCTAGCGGCTATTTTTAGACCTAAAATCTTCATAGATTGCTTTGACGCACTCGCTAGCGAGCACACCTAACGTAAACTGAGAAGATGGATGCATAGATCATACACGTCTCGTCTTGTCTCGTCTCTACACAAAGTGTCCCAAAGTCCCAAACCAATAGATAACCTGTTCAAATTCAAATACAAATTTACTTTTATAAGTATTCTTCTCATCTTAACCTGATACTTTTTCTTCGGGGGTTTTAATATTATAACATTACGAAATGAAATGCAGCAATGTATCTACACTATTCAAGAGTAGATGAAGATTGAGATTGATTAAATTATTAAACGAATTGATATGTAAAGCTGAGCTTCAAATCTATACTTAGCCTCTACATCTTAAACAGATAATAAATTAAATCTTGCAAGCTCCAGTGGAGCAGTTAATTTGATAGCCTCAATTCTATTCGGTTTCAAGCCGGAAAATGAATCCAAAAATATGTAAAACGTTTTATATTTACATCTGAAATGTAACAAACTGTGAAGAAAGAGATGTTAAAGTGATCTGTTTTACTTTGAGTTAATTTGGAGCAGGAACAGAAGAATTATCACCAAAGGGTAAAATTTACCTACCTCAGAAAATTATAGACCTTGAAAAGGAAAACCAACGGAATATCGAAGCCAAAAACTTTTCCCCCAAAGCGCTAGTCTTTCATCAAACAAAAAAGGTAATATTTAGCGAATACCGAACCGAAATCTAATTGTTTTCGTATTTTACATTCTACGCACACCAGATATAATGGGAGCCCGAAATTCAGTAGAGAACCTTGACTAACGGGAGGTTGGTGAGACGTGACTCGCTTGCTATAAGGGCCAATTTCCAAGAGCACGTAGTCACCTCGAGATTGCTAACTCAGTTACACTGTTTTCACCCAATTATTGCTGTCCCGAAGAAAACTAGTTAGATTAGTATGGAATTTTGTTAGGCGTTGCTGGGCAGGGGATTTCTTTAAGGAATTAGGGTTTAACAAGTCCCAATATCTGTTTGGGACGGGTGGAATTGTTATTGTTCTTGTTAGGTTTCCCTGCCGCATTTCCACATCTAAATTCAGATCAGCTAGTATTATCCAAATATTATAGCGAATTTTGCACCGTTACAGTAACCGTGCTTTTGGAATAACGGCACATAGGTTCATTTACTTTATGCTTATTGTTGCGGCTTTCATAAATAGCATTATAATAAGAGGTGATTACTAGGAGCTTGGGAATATTCAGTTTGAATATTATTCAAGCGAATGTTTGTTGAATCTGACTGACTACTGCAACAGTAGCAACGAATGAGACTGGTTCTGCTATAATATTGATAACTTAACAAGGAGACGCACGAATCCTGTCCCATAAAAGCCTGTATCGTACTCATAAATAACATTTCTGCCATTCCTAATCGAACAGATCATAAGGAATGTATGAATATTTGATATGATCTCTCAACCCGTCGATAATAAAACTATTCAGTTACAAGTCACGCAGTTTGCAAAACGAATATCACTCCTGTAGAGATCGTGACTGCATTGCGAAGATAAATCGAGCCATCTCAAAATGTAATAAAATGTCGCAAACATCTGCCTTCAAAGACAGCGCGGATGATAAAGTCTTAGCAAATGTATATTGTTAAAGAGCGACTGTTATTTTATCTTTTTTTTTATCCACAACGAGGAAGCTCTTGGCCTGTATCTCAACCTGATGGTAAGTGATGATCAGGCCGAAGGTGGATGCGAACTTCACCCGGAACCACAGCGAAACTGGCTATCTTACCTCTAACTGCCGGAACATAACAATGCTGTTTAAATGTTGTTATGGCGACAGACTTAGATAAGATGGTGGTAGCTAGCCAGGCGGACTTAGAACAAGCCCTACCACCAACCAAACCGAACAGAAAATCTACACTTAAAGATCCTTTTTTTTTAAGTGGACGTGATGAATTCTATTGCCTTTATAGTCAGTTGATAAAGGATAGCTAACAAAGTAGCGTAGTAGCGTAGGGTAGTATACTTGTATCCTTTAACGATGCGATCAATCCAGCGATTCTCTGATTGAGGTCTACAAATAACTTTGTTTATAATTATACTGTTTATTTTTCAGGTAATTCTATAGTCGCAGCGAGGAACGTCCACCCACAAGGTGGACCGAAGACCTGATAAAAGTAGCAGGAAGGCGCTGGTTGCAGGCCGTTATCAAACGTGCGATGTGGAAGTCATTAAGGTAGGCCTATGTTCAGCAGTAGACGTCCTGTGGCTGAAATGATGATGATGAAGTCTTATCAGTTTGAATCGAATGGGCTCAAACCTAATGTTTTGTAATATCGAACTAATCGCAGACATGAATCTATTTTTGAATTTACATTCTAACGGGATGCCCTTTTTCGTGTTCATAACATGGGCCTAAGAAAGAAGTTGCCAATTCAACTAACAGATACAGTCCGCCGTTGGGATTGCTTAGGTATTCATGACAATATAGTCCGGAAAAAGGTGGCGGAATGTTGTCTGCTTAATGCATGTGACAGCTGTGGCTTCTGCATTATGGATATGAAAAACTTTTAATATGGTTGGTGGTAAACGCGAATGGCTCTTTAACCCCATCTTCTGGCACTGGCACTACTGGTTTAAAAGGTATGCAGTTCGTCGTATGAAATGGTACAATTGTAAATTTTACGTGAAGCTAAAACAACGCGTATGCACTTTCAACTATTAAATGTGACCTTTCCCAAATTAAATTTTGCCACGACAAAGTTTATAAGGAAATTAATTTTATACGTCTTAAAAGTTTTGGTTCCAATAAAAACACATTTGGAAACCTTTTTGATTGACGTTGTCAATTATGAGTACCTACTAACATCTTGAGAATCAGCATGTGATCTGACCTCATAAAGCAGGCCTTGGATATGCCATTTCACGAAGCGCATCAACGGTCGCACGAAACCCAATGATTAGGCACGACTCATCTTCGATACATCATAAATCAGAAACGATTCTAATCTCTATGACTGTTTATTTAGATCCTCCTTACTTAAACCATGACTCATTAATCTTTGAAGATTCAGTAACCGCGCTGCGTGCTACTTTGCATTCATCGCTGCTCTATTTAGTTTGAGCCCTATTACCAAGTCGCTCCCTTTCAGAACTCAAGAACTCGTTACCTCAGTTATATCAGCTCCCTAGGATAATTTTCTTAGTTTACTCTCATTTTGATCACGACTTTTAGCATTGCGAACTGGTTTTACTTTTCACTTTTGCAACTTCCGCCACCGTGGGGCAGGTATATGTAGGTAGCATATTGATTGTAAACGCAAACGTTCAAATCTACTTTTCGCAATGTCATTCAATTGTGAATCTGAATAAAAATGTAAGTTTGATCGTAAGTTTGTCATAGATATCTCATTAAAAATGTTTTATGGTGTTATTAAAGAGGCATCTCAGATAGGTACGAGTATCAGAAACTTTATCAAGAATCGCATGGACTTCGGAGCATTCGGAGGTCTCATATACTAGTAGCACAAATAAGTCTAGTCTAGTAGCTTATTGATTTACACTAGTCACTTGGAAACACACTCTAATACAAGTAGTCAAAATAAGTTTTACCTTTATCATGGCCTTCAGCATGGCGTATCTGGTAAAGACATTTCTCTGAGCCTTGGACTCGCTGTAGCGCGCCATGAGCGTGACAAGCGCCTTCTTCGCCGTATCGTAGTTCTCGTCGAGGCGCACGCGCACGTTGCGCAGTCGCTCGTTGGTTTCTATCACCTCCTCTTTCGTCTGCCCGCCTGGTGGACGAGAATTAGGAATTAGGACTTAAAATAAAGATTGTTTGTCAGGCTGGGTGAAACTGAGATATAACTATACTCGTACTATTTAAATGATGAATGTCAATAACAACAGTTGCGTTGCGTCGATTACTGCCGAGTATAAGACCAAAGCGGAAGGAGAGGAGACGAGAGGAACTATGTTTCAAATAACCAATCAGATTTTGTTATTACCACATCTCTCCACTCAGTTTCGGTTCAGAAATCTGTTTGTTCAAAACACATCTCTTGTTTTTGTCTCCGCGTTGGTGGAAACTGAACACATAGATACGTAAGTACGTACATGTAGGTAATTAATTAAGTGCGCATTGCGTTTACGTGATTTGAACCTACAAAATAAAACAAATTGAATAATTACATTAAGCTTCAACATGATTGCATATTAATCACTATCCGAATATAAAACACAAACTGTTGTTATTACAGCAACGTGCAAATATTAATTGAATTATTGACGCGGAGATGATCTGAAAACTAAAGGTGGGGTAATATTTTAACCTATCGACGAGTTTAATTAAACATATTCACAAACGAACGGTCGAAAAGCCAATAAATAACGCTAATGGAAGCGGGACTGTGGATCAATTAGGTTCAGATGGATTTATTTTTTAATCTCTTGAGGCTGATTCTGTTGAGAATGTTAGTGTCGTTACTTTCAATTGGTGGCTATTTAAATTGGATTTTAAGGCCAGGTTTTCACCAACAACGCGGCGGTGACAAAATGAAAAGAAAAGAGAAGAAAGAACAAAATGAAGAAGTTGTCTCTTCTCTGTTAGAGCAAGCAATAGTTAAATAAAGCAAGCATTAGAAATAAGTTGAGCAGAGCAGAGATTAGGTGTGGTGCTACTTTCGATACAGAAGACGTTGCACTGAGCGAGATGAAGCGGATCGGGCAAGAGAAGACTTAGAAAGATAAGAAGACCCCTCTCATCTCCGTTCCATTCCCCATCGTTGGAAATAACCTGACCGCGATGCCGCTTGTCTCATTCTGTCGCCTTGTCGCTTTGGTGGAAAACCGTAATCAAGAGCTTTTCGGCGATTTCTTCTAATTAATGCTGTTTTGCTTTAGCACGCATATTTAACCTAACTCACAATGATCTTAATTAATTCACGGTCTTACTTTTCGCTGTGTCAAACGTGTGCTCAACGCAAACACCGCCGCAACCGATTCCAATTAAAATTACGCATTGTTCAGTAACAGCATATCAAGCTAAACATACTGGCGTTTATCTCCTTGTAATACAGGGTATTTTTCAACGAAAAAGTACAGTCTGACGTGTGACCGTAGAATAAAGCCACACACGATTATTCGTTAATAAAACGGCATTAAGCGTAACAAATAACAATTCGCACAATACCGCAGACGCAAATAACTGTGGGGCTACTCCGAAAAACGTCGAAATTTCGAATGATGCTATCCCTCTTGCGCAAAGTGAGCTGCCAGCATGAGCGACTGAGACAGATGGAATCGAAAATACTGAACAGCGTTTCAGAGTAGCCCCGCTGATTATATTAAAATTGCCCGACAATGGCACCCTCCGTAATCCTGGTTGGGACGTGATGTTGGTTCTGGTGATTTGCAGAATCGGCATTTTATTGCGATATCTTTTCAACTAGTGGTGCGTGATAATCGATTTCGTATTGATTCATTTATCGATACGGCTTAAGCTTTGGCTTGAAAGCTTTTGATATTGTTAACAAAAACATCTGGTAATGCAAGCAATTAAAATCAATTATTCGAAGTATCAATAGATGGCTATTTATTAAAGGATGATTCGGGTAGAACAATATCGAATAATAATACAAAAGTCGGCAATATTTTATAATCTACAGCACATTAAAGTAATTCAAAATTACGAATTGCATTGGATTTGAAATTTTCTAAATCCTACTAATATTATAAATGCGGAAGTTTTGATGTTTGGATGTCTGGATGTTTGTTACTCTTTCACGCAAAAACAGACTGAACTGAACGGATTTTGATGAAACTTTACAGCATTATTGTTTGTTGTTTGGCAAAAGCTAGAAAGTTAAGTATTTTTTTTACATTTTATCCAAAATGGACTAAAGTTGGAAATTTTGTATCTGTCCCCGACCGCATCGAACTTTACTGTTTATTGCGAGCACATCAAGGTAAAAACTTTAGCACCTTACCTAGTTGCAATACGTGTGATATTCCAACAAAAATGTCTACTCTGATGTGCTGTACAAATCAATTCGGCTCAACGTCCCAACAATGCTTAACACGTTGTTTGCCCGACTATTCTTTGGATTTGTATTCGGACTCGGCGCGGAATGAATTGGTTGGATGCCCAGCTCGTTATGGCGCCATTGAAATGCGACTCGGTTTTAGGAGCTGATTGGCTTACGTTTCAATAGTTTTACCGATTTTGGTAATGATACAAAGATAGAGATAGATTTACGGGAATTCGAACAGATTTATAGAAATATCATTAAGTTTGTTTACCGCACCTGACATTATTAACAAATAAAACGTAAAAATAGGAAAAGCATGCCCATTTACACTGATTTTCTTTGGAATCGACAGTCTTTTAGTTAATTGACTCTGAAAACCAACACTACAAGAGTGACGTCAAATATTTTTATACAGATTATTAAGAAAATGCTTAAAGAGCTCATAGAAAGTTAAATTGATTAGCAGTGTTTATTGTACTTACATTATTACGAGTTATCGAAAAGTTCATACGAGTAGGTACCCACTGTTTTAAAGATAGTTTAAAAAAAAATTATAATAAAAATAAACTTTTTTAAAAACAAGCTTTTATTCTGAATTTCGAAAGTTTGTATCGCGCATGGAATTTATTCCTCTTTTTCTCTGTTTGCGCTACAAGCTTTCGAAATTCAGAATAAAAGCTTGTTTTTAAAAAAGTTTATTTTTATTATAATTTTATTTTACACTTTTTAGTTATATCTTAATCTCAGGACCCTGGACGTTATCTAACACTAAAGTGCTCGAAAAGACAAATCCAACGAACCCAAACTCGATGAGTTTCCGCCGTTTTGTTTAGGAGTTCCTATGGCCACCTCCCGACTCCATCATCAGACCAGCTCAATGGTACCATAATATTGCATTGTCATCGGACTTACACATGTATGCAAAATTTCAGCTCAATAGGAAACCGGGAAGTGGATCAATTTTAAGTTGCAAGATTTGACGACAGACACCAGACATGTGAAAGTAATAAAAAGCTTGTAAAAAGTAATAAAAAGCTTGTAAAAAGTACTATAAACAGTATGATTCTCAGATTCTACGATACCAAAGTGTAAGTAGGTATGTGGAAGTGTGCCACAAATAAGAAATACTATGATAGTACTCACTTGAAGTGCCTTCATCCTTGACGTCTTGAACTATCCGGCGGACGCTCTGCGTGAACTTGCCCACTAAGTTGGTGCTTGCTGAAACAAAGACATTACAACTATTAATACTTTTGTCATTATTATCTAGGTAGGCATCATGTTTTCGATTTTATTATATCTTTTTATTTGAACTTCTACAACCCTAAAACCCTTCTATAACTAAACAGGCTTCTGGGCAACTTCATCTGCACCCTCAAGTCAGATTGTTATCAAGAGTAAGCAACAGACCTATCTATGTATATACTTAGGAATAAAAACGAGATTCTGCCATCTAGCTTAGCTTAAATTTTCTCGACAAAAAATTAGTTCGGAATTCATTCAGCTTAGTTGAGTAGTGAGGCCGAATTAGCCGTAGTGGAAACTAAGTTGTGCCGCAAGTTGGACACGGTTGTGCACTCTCTCGGCCGGCTGAGCCGTCTGAGCCGACCGCCAAAGTCGGGGCTAGCTCGAAAATCCTGAATGAAACGTCACTTGGTATTATGCTGTTAGTGGACGTCATGGTACCGTCCACTACAACTTCTCTATGCTTTTACAATAGAAGTAGTTTTAACACACGTGTAAAACCACCTTGTTAATTGTTCCCACTTTGGCTAGGACGTTAGAGGCTTGATTATAAATAAATAAATAATAGAAAGAAAGAAAGAAAGAAAAATTGTTTATTTGGTTCAAACATAGTAATTTTAAACAATTTGGATAGTAATTATAAGTAAATTGTTGAACCAAAATGGCTCCTACTCAGCTTGTATCATATTCCGTAAAGAACATGATGCTGGTATTTGCCTTAAATAGATTGTACAATAGCTGCATAAGAGTCATAATGTTTAGCTTGACTCAAAAACAAAGCTCAAGTGTCAGTTGGCTTTGGCGGATCAAAAAGGGACACCAGAATGACCAGGGCCGTCTTTAACCTCCCCAGTAGGTTAAAGATGGCCCTGGTCATTCTGGCCCTTGTCACATAAGGATCAAGGGAGGCCCTTTTCACCTGGAGAAAATTATCTTTTATGAAAACGGACGGGGGCCTCCTCGATCGCGGGGCCCTGGGCACGTGCCTAGAGTGCCCAGTGGGAAAGAGGGGTCTGAGAATGACGTCAGTCGTTACAACCAACATCACAGATAAAAATGTTTAGTGAGTTTTTAATTACGATAAAACTTTAATACTCCACCTAATTACAGATTTTCAGCAAAAGAAAATTTAAAAAACAATTAGAAAACGTCTGGTCCCAAGTGCGCGATTGGAAACAATGGCTGATCCAATTGAAGGCAATTTTATTTCTTTGAGCTTTTAATTATTCAGGTTGCTGTCGGCGCCATTTTAAATGGTCCTTAAGGCGCATTTTACTGTAATGGTTTTTCCAAACATTTTATTTTCTTTAATGCTAATATGAAGGTAAAAAATATAATTAAGTCTCAAATTAAACGTTTTGATAGCAGCGCCAAGATTTTCACTAAGGATAAGTTGCAATATTATCGAGTCAAATAGCCATTTCATCCTTTATGATTATATTTTTAAATAATACTTATAACGGTATTTTGCTGAGACGATTCTCAACACAGAAGCAAAACAATAAAACATGGAACAATCAAAATATGACATAAATCATAAAATCATACAGCCAAATTAAATACCTAGAACAACGGAAGTCGAAGACTTCCTCCCAACGCTTGTCTAGTAGTTTCCAATAAAATCGCCTTAGCACCAACTTTATGAATCCACATTTTCTGGTTGCACAACGATTTATACGCTTCAACATGTTAGTCTTTTGTCCCCAACTACCCCCATTTACTATTCTGTCGCGGCCGCGGCGTGCTGAAAATTGAAAAAGTTTGATACGCCCCGCGGTTACTTCCGGGGAAGCCCCGTCAAGAGTATTAATTTATATCTGACAGCTCAATCGGTCTTGTTAGATGATCTGTTAACAAGTTGCCAGTTTACGGGGAAAATGGCGAGTTCTAATTGGAAATATTTTCCCCTTTGGTCCTTTTATCTTTAATTGCAGCTATGAAAAGTTAGTTCATCCGTGTAACTTGGAAGATTTATGCATTATTCAGTGAATAAATAATGAATGCACATGTTTTGAAAACATACTCGATCGGAAATGTCACTGACAGACGTATAGAAGAAGAAAAATGCCTTTGAAATTTTTTGCGCAGAGGCCTTTTACGTTTTATGAAATCTTATCTAAATTAAACATCTATCTAGCCTTTTGCCTGCTGTGCGATTTTGTTCAATAGAATTTTAACTCAGTGTAAGTAAATGTAATGCAAACCAAGTAAACAATGCTAACACTGCACAGTTAACCAGGCCATAAACATAAATAGGTGGAACATTTGCGAATGCAAATATGACGGTGTTGCGTGTCCTTAGAGATAATACGACATACTTTAGTGCAATAGATATGTTTCATTTGTTACATTAGGTACTACATTGCACTTTACAGTTATTCTTATGTAAGTAAGTATATGAATATCCGTGGGCATACGAAGTGTTGATTATGTAGATCGCTGTAATATCTGAAGAAGATGTAACATTTATTTGATTTTGCATGAAGGTTATGTAACGTTCTGTTTTCTTCATTACTTCATAAAGAAGAAGTTTAATTCAAGAAGAAGTATTAAAGGAAAGGTATTTCAGAGTATCAAAGGGTACGTGATTTTTATTCTGTCCCATTTTACGTGATAACGGCTCCGTAACGGTCTAAAAGGTGAAACTTATATTCAGCACCTAACGTAGATTTTTCTATTAAAAAGTAAGAATATAACAGTTCGAATTTGAGCTTTATTTCTAAGCCCTAGTGACTATATTACTGGAATTATTTTTTAGAAATGAAATTATCTTACTATCACAAAGGCGTTTTATTCTGGAACCCCACGAAAAATTTCAGTGTAAGACGTCCAGCTGCGATCAAAATTCCGTGCACGCATTCGCTAACAATTTAGGGACGAACTTGTAAATTGTTGAATGAAACGCTCGCGATTTTTCCATTAGGGCTTGTTCCCACTGAGACTTCCCGTTTTTTGCAGGAACTGATTTTTTAAAAATGTTAACGTTCACACGAACATCCCGTTTACAATGTCCCGCAAAAAACCGATCCTTTACATTTTGTAATTCGGTTAAAATACACATCTACAAATCAGGCTAGGTTGCACAATCTTACTTTAACTTTAACAAAATCTGTCAAACTCCATACAAAAAAACCCTTAACATCAAAGTAAAGGTCAAAGTTAGGTGGTGCAACTCAGCCTTGTGTGTCACACGACAGTCCAGTTTTGCGCGATCATGCATCCCGCAAAACTGCCATAGGAATAAGCCCTCACTCAACGGATTTCTCCTGTTGTATGAGTGAAATATGAATTTCATATTGGTATACTGAAACGTGCTGTAACAACGTTCGTAAAGTTTCTCTGTACGTGTTTACTTTCATCATACAATGATGTAGTTGTTGGACAATGTTTTCTGGTTTTCTTTTGCATGTTTCGTTATTTATTGCTTTAATAAACATGTTTCTTTTAATAAGACTACAAACAAGAAAATACGACTGTATAGGTACAGGCACATGAATCTGTCATTTTTGTCTCATAAAACCAAGGCTGAGTTTCACCATCTTACGTTAACTGTAACAAACGTCAAAAGTCTGTCAAACTCCATACAAAAACACCGGTTATCGTTATAGTTACGGAAATTAGGTGGTGCAACTCAACCTTATTATTTCTATTCGCCAGTAGTTTGTTCCCGTTGCCGGGTAACTGAGTTGGGGCAAATACAACGTGTAACCATTCGCGATTCTGTTCTTTCAACACAAACTTTAATGCGGAAGTTAGCCTGCTAGTTTAGGGTTGAGAAAATTCATTACAAAATCGTTCAGTAACCTACATCCTCAAAAGACACGTTTTATAGCAACATTCGCAAATTACACACTTAGTTACTTTAAAAAGTTACTGTCCGCTTAAAAATGTGAAAAAACGTACCTATCCTGTTTCCTCTCATAGTCCCAACTCTTATTTCATATTTCAGTTTTCCAAATTGTAACTTTATAGGTATTTACCTTGTTTTATCAGTAAGTACTTACATAGTTACTAGGGCGACCATGCCTCACATTTTGACTGAGGTGTAGAGTTAGAAGCTTGGCTCTACACGAGATAAGTGTGCTTACCATGAGTTTACGTTAGGTGTGCTCGCTAGCGACTGCGTAAAAAAAAATACATTAATTGTATGACATATCGTGCAGCGCCCCTAGCAGCTACTTTCAAGAAACAAAATCTTCATAAAGATTTTTGACGTACTCGCTAGCGAGCTCACCTAACGTAAGCTCATGGTAGGTACACTGATAGATATTTCATAGTTCGTCTTAGCAACATTTTCATAAAAAGGTGAGATTACATTATTTTATTCTTTCTATCTTGACAACCCTAAACTAGCGCGAGGCGGTACTGTGTGTCTGGTAGAAACTACACCGTGAAGCCCTTACTAATCGAGCGTGCCTGGAATTGGTAAAGTTTATGTTAGTGAGGCTCACACTTAAAAACAATTAGGCCGTAGTTTAGCTGTCTAACGCCATTCACAAACAGTTCTATGAGGTCTCACAGTGCGCGTGGACGCACAGGGTGACAATCACAGAGCTCTATTCAACGCTGTGCGTTCAATTTGCTGCTTCACTTAAGCAAGTATCGTTTGTGAATACGGCCGTAAGCTTCATGGTGCTTAGTGTTAGTGTTAGACTGTGTGACTAATTAGCTACTAGCTAGTCTCCTTGTAACCCGGCCGCGTGTCAACGAGATGACGTCAGTAATTGTAGCATAATAATATAGCGCTAGCATTATGCTCCGTGGTTGACAGGAATACATAGTCGACATGTTTTGCTAACACAATATCAGCGTAATTTTGTGTTAAAGCAGTTATAAGGTAAAGACGTAACAAAAATAATAAAACATTACGAATACGAACGAACTTCGAATTGGTATATACTTATTGTAAGAAATGATGGGTTCTCACTCAAAATGTCTTCCCAATGTGGGATTTTCCAGCTTCAATATAACTGAAA